ATATTAGAAAATGATTTAATTAGATTTAATTCAGACTCCCAACCATTAGTCTGAAGAGGTAGAGACATCCTTTGAAGCTCTGGAATAAAAATTGGGTGGAATAGTGGATATGCCTTACACATACTCAACACTCAGATATTTGCCATTTTTGCATGTTTACGTCTTGAATTATATTTTAAAATGTGTTTTAATAGTATCTCATTTTTTAATTAAAGATTATACCATCGCCGAAGGCACGGAATCCACTAGTTACTGTCTCTGACTTGCAGCGTGTTACCCTGAGACCTAACTCCAAAATATTATCAACTCGAGTTACAAATTTCTTAATGTAAGGAACTGCACAGTGCTATACTCTACTACTACTTAAAAGAATGATATTGTTGTACAAGGGCCTAAAAACAGGAAAAAATGACTTTTTTTTACTTATTTTTAATGTTAAAAGTTATATATGCTCATTATAGAAAAATTGAAATCTACAGAAAAGTTTAAAAAAGAAAACAAAAATTATCTAAATAATCCTAACATTGGAGATTGTCATGGTTAACATACTGCTGTTTATTATTCTAGTCTTTTCTGGGCATATGCTTTATTGCCCCATTTAAAGATGTTGTTTATTATAAAATGTGTCATTGATTTAATAACAGATTTTGGGAGAAAAATATTCTATCAAGAATTTTAGGATAGACGTGATGGCTTATGTCTGTAATCCCACCACTTTCAGAAGCCAGAGTGGGAGGATTGCTTGAGGCGAGGCATTTAAGACCAGCCTGGGCAACGTAGTGAGACCCTCATCTCTAAAAAAAATAATTAAATTAAAAATTAGCCTGATGCAGTGGTGTGTGCCTGTAGTCCCAGCTACTTGGGAGGCTGAAGCAAGAGGATCACTTGAGCCCAGGAGGTCAAGGCTGCAGTGTGAAGTGACTGTGCCACTGTACTCCAGCCTGAGCAACAGAGAGAGATTCCATCTTGAAAACAAGAAAAATCCTAAATGTCTCAAAACAAGATTTTATCTATGAAATTTACATACAATGAACTGCCTATTTTGAAGATGTCAAAGTGATACTTTAAGTTAATTTTCAAAAAGATGAAGAAGCCGGGCGCGGTGGCTCAAGCCTGTAATCCCAGCACTTTGGGAGGCCGAGGCGGGTGGATCACGAGGTCAAGAGATC